TTTTTGTGGAGGCATCGAAAGCCATGGACATTGATTCGACATCTACCCCTTCCCGGCACCGAGGTGCCAGGGAACGAACTATCGCCCAAACTTGACATGTTTAAAACTTTTGCTCTTTGGGAGGGGGTAGGCCGTAGAGGTAACTAGGTAGCTAGAGGTATCCGTAGCGGCTAGGAAGTCGCTAGTAGCTTAAGTAGCTGCTACCTATGGACGCAGGACAGCTCATGCTTCTTCAAGGAAGCTCCCCCCACCTGAGGGCGGGAGGGAGCTTCCTTGAAGAAGCGCTCACACTATTCATTTGTTTCCTAGATGTTTAGGGAAACTTAAGAATTGATGCTCCAGATTTGCCAGATAGAGAAGACAAGTGCTTCAGTGTTACGGAAATGACTCATGGCACTGGGGGCCCAACAATCAGTCTCAAAGATGGGAGAGCCAGATGTGGGTCCTTGATCACCCTTCAGACAGTCCAAGTAAAGTCAATCTTGCAATGCTCGAAACAGCGGTCTTAATTCAGCTTTTCAATTTTTTGGCAGACGGTTTTTCAGCATTCGCTGATTGCAGGTGAGCCACATCGAACTCAACGGCCACAGCCATCGCCGAAGCGCAGGAGAATAATCTCCGCTCCTTGGACGAAGCGTGTACTGTATACTTTATGCTAACCAGGGTATTTGCCCACCTGGCATCAAGAATATTTCAGTATGTACGGCACCAAACGAATCCTTTCTCCCTTGCAGCTGCAATGTGATGCTTTAGTGCTTGAACACGAACGCCACTTGACCATCAGCCAAGAAAAATCGATTTGATGACATCGACGTTGGGGAGCTTTGGGTGCGGATGCAGAGATTTCAGGAAGGGGCCATTAGGTCAAGGAACATGAAGGATCATAAAACATTTGTCCAAGATGACTGCAGGATTTGGTTGAAGGATTTGCAAATGACCCTAAGTACATTCAGCGACGGGAGGTGTCGTGTCGGGCTTTGCAAGTGTATCAAGACTAGTGCGACAGCCCACAGTCCGATGATGTCCCATGTTGACCTGTTAAGTCTCACATGTCCCATGTCGTTCGGTGAAGCACCAACTGAAACTGCCAGGAGCATTGGCTTCTCCATGACTTTCTGTCCAGCGAAGTTACGGCCGTGGGGAATGACCTTTGAGCGCAGCGTGGTGCTGCTGCCTGTGGTCAAGGCCATTTGGTTCAGGTGCATTCTACAACAGGAGGCACAGACATCCTCGACAAGTGAGGGCAACGATGGGGACAGAAAAAGTACTCTCTCAAACCTTGATCAATGCAAGCACGTGAAGATTGGATTGCCGAATCCAGCATCGGCAGCATCAGTACTTGCTTGCAACAACTGAGCTGTTTGAGGTGCGACTGGAGCAGGTCCTTTCGCAGATAGCCAACGTTCAAAAGCGCTTGGAGCAGGATACCCACTCGGGTCAAAAGCACTTGCATAGCAGGCCCACCAGAGAACATGCCACTAGGGCCACCATCATCGGAAGTGTTGTTTTGAAGTGATGTGTGGTGCCTCTTGGTTGATCCAGGCCAAATTCAACCTGTTGAGGTGAAGTGTTGATGTGTGGATTTGTGATGTGCAAAGTAGTGAAGTGGTGAAGCCCTGCCAAGGAGGCCATAGCTACTAGGTTGGAGGCCATCGCTACTAGGGTGGAGGCCATCGCTAGTAGGTTGGAGGCCATCGCTAGTAGGGCGGAGGTCATCGCTAGTAGGTTGGAGG